GCTTGTGAATAGCTTCATTTTTCACCTGGAAGTAGATGCGTTGGTTCCACGGTGCTTGTTTTGGGGTGGCCCAAGACAGGGGGTGGCCCAACTCGGGGTGGGTCGACTTATACCGGAAGTGAGCGTTGCTCAGGCTTTACATGACCCTGTCACGGCCGAAATGCTGCGTTTGGTCGTGTGCCTCCTCCAGGAACTCGGGGATCGGTGCTTGGGGAATTACCAATCGTTCGGTTCCACCTGCATCGCGGTTATACAGCAGGCCGTCAACCAGGCGGAACGGGTGGCCGTTTTTGCTGGCGTTCAGGGGCACTGCCGTAGGGGCGGGCTTGCCCTGCTTGGTTGCCAGTTCGGTAGTCATCCTGGCGTAGGGTGCGTCTTGTTAATAGGCGGCTATGAACCTGAGTCTCAAGTTCTCGTCCATCTGCGCCTCGGCGAGAAACAAGACACGGTCCTCCGTGGCCGGGACCTCGTCCCAAAGTGTATCTAGGACAGGCTTGTCGTTATAGACACGGATGCCAGCTTCGATCACGATGCTGGGTGCCTCATCCGGGGTCTTGACACCGAACGTCGATTTCTCCCCGGGAAAGCGTGGCAAGGGTCCCGCTGCTTCTTGGTTGATTATGTTGAAGACTTGTTGGTGAGGTCATCGAACTTCCAGTTGGTGATAGCGGCTATCTTGGCGGGGTCTATCCTGACACCTTGGCCGACTTCGATGACCAGACTCAGGTATTCCAAAGTCGTAGCGTTGAACCGGCTCTTTTTGATATCTCCTTGGAGGTGGGCTTGGTTCAACCGGTATATGACTTCTTCAAATTGAGCCCAGTGCGTGGCTTCGTCGGACTCTTCCGAGTAAATTAGGACGTTATCAGCGTAGGCGCTCGCGAAAACGTCTAGGAGCTCGTTCAGCTGGGCGTTGATGAATGCCTGCCACCAAGCTGGGCCGACTTTGAGTCCGAAAGGGAGGACTTTCCACTGGAATGTCCCTTGACGTGTCCGAAAAGCTGTCAAGTACCGCGACTCTACCGACATTAACAGTCGATTGAACGCGCGGATGATGTCGATCTTGGACAATCTCTTGGCCTTGCCGCACTTGGTGATCGTGCCGTTAACGTCAGGCGCTGAGACGAGGCGGGACTTGAGGAACCTGTTTACCCAGCGGTAGGTTAGGTTAGGTTAAGTTAGGTATATTTACCGTCTGTAGCGAGTGCTGCCTCACTCTAGCCTCCCTAGGGGCATTAGACGTGCCAGCGACTACCAGATGTCCTAGATACAGGGTCTAGCCCACCGACTGCTGTCACGGTAGCTAGCAAACCAAGCCCATCAGCCGACCAGTGTCGGCCTTAAGCACATGCATAACAAGCCGCATCCCGAGGCCCCTGACTGGTAGGCCGGTTCTCGGTGGCAGTGGTACAGGGTGCCTCAAAGCACTACTAAAGATGGCAGATAAGAATAATGCAGACCGGCCGCTATGGCGCGTGTGGGACTTGGAGGGGAGGTTGGGAAGAGGAGGGGGAAGGGCGTCGTTAAGGTATGTGGTAGG